ATATACTAATAGTATATACAAAGATGTGTTAGTGAATGAAGCACTGTTATTAATTTTTTTCTTGGTTACACCTGGCAATGTTCTGGGCTTAGGAATCATTTTTGGCAGTATTAAGGGAATTATATGCAGTCCAAGGTTCAAACATGGGGCAGCCTCATGAACGGCAAGTACCTTCCTCCTGTGGTATCTATTTGGCCCATATGAATATTTGTCTCACTGTACATTGGCCTATAGGAGTACTTCATACCAATTTGCAGCATTTAGTTCAGTTGACAGTAATATGATTATTTCACCGAATTCCTTGGATTTTATTCTATCCACTACCAAAACTGTAACAAAAGAGTCACTTAAGATCAGTGAAAAATTCTTATTCGTCTTTTCTACCTGAATTAGTCCCTAACACAGATGATACACAGAAGAAAAAAGAGTAGGAGAGATACATGGTGAAGACAGAAAGAAAAAGGAAAGGGTGAGATGAAAGAAGAAAAGTGAGGGGGAAGAGTAGTAGAAAGGCACTAAATTGATTTTTCTAATTAGAGGACACTAAATCCATGCTTTGTTCTTAGATACTTACTGATGACTCCAATTTGAAACAGGAAATGGGTAACTCAGAGTTACTCTTCCATTATCAGTCAAGTACCCTGTGGCAACAACCCTGTCAGTATCTGAATGAGTTACCCTAGTAATATCACATCATTGACTATAGACACAGTATAGTTTTGGGAAAGCTATATTAAAGGTAGTCAATAGGGTTATCCCCAGACAAAAAGAGATAACAGAATTACTTTTCTGAGAGCCAACAGTCTTCAGCAGGAGATGCCAACTATATAACCACTAAAGGAGGCTTACTGGTGCACTCCTCAAGGCCAAAGTAGCCAGTGTTCTAGAAAGTCTTTAATCACTCTGGAAAACAAGACATCATCAGAAATGTACTAAAATCTTTTGATTATCACAAGTACCGGCAAGCTACCGAGAGTATCTCGCCCGCACGGCAGAGCCTGGCAAGATACCCGTGACGTATTCCATATGCCAAACACAGTAACAACAAGTCTCATGATGGAGACGTTACTGGGCCCGCTCGATCAAACCGATGAACAACGGGAGGACCGTGTCTACCGTGTCGTGTCATCACAAGTACAGTTCGACAGGCAGAGGGATAAAGCAGAAAGGGGGATGTAATTGGAAGATTTAAAGGGAAAAGAAAAACTGACCAAGTTCATAGGTCCTAAAGTAAATGACTTCCGTGTGTAACAAACCCCTTAATAGTTAAAAAGTAATATATTTATAATTTAGAGAGCATTTCTGTATGTGTTAAGTGATGATTATAGTTGATACACAATTTTGACCCCACTTACTGACACTGTTGATTTGAATTCTCAATTCTAATTTGATCCCCCCTGCCAAATCTACTCCAACGACAGAGGCTATTTTCCCATATCAATCTAGACAGCCATAGCATACTAAAGCAACCCAGAGTAGCTACCCATTTCCAAACAGTACAGTCCAGCTGGAAATACTGTGATTATACCTGGGTTAGAATCAAATCTAATGGGAGGTAGAGAAACGTGTGGCTTAGGCCCCTGGTATGCTATAATAGATTTTCTAGATAGACTCTTCTAGTTTTCGTTATTCTATGAAATTTTTTTGTATTAAGATAATTTGTATTTTTCACATATAGTAAGCAAGGCTAATAGATGTATTGATACAGAAAGAAAATACAGACAGCGTTTCAAGATCTAAACAAAAGGACAAAACCTAACCAGAGTTTACATAATGTAAAATAAATTGTTCTTTGTGATTACATTCTAGTTCAGTTGCACCTATCTTTTCAGCATATACAATAAAATCAGACTTTTGGGGGCACTGTCATCAGATTTTTAAAAATTACAATAGCATAATTTATATTTATTTTTATTAAGCAGACCTGTTTTTAACCAAATAAATGAATAGAGTAAGATTTCAGGAGAAATACATGAATGAGTAGCACTGTGGCACTGTCCACTGTAGCACTGTCCTCCTGTTGTTCATCGATTGCTCAAGCGGGCACCAGTAACGTCTTCATTATGAGACTTGTTGTTACTGTTTTTGGCATATCGAATATGCCACGGGGAACTTGTCAGGTTTTGCCATGCGGGTGGGATACTCTCTATAGCTTGCCAGGCTCTCCAAGAGGGACAGAGGAATCAAACCCCGGGTCGACCATGTGCAAGGCAAACACCCTACCCACTGTGCTATTGCTCCAGCCATCATGAATGAGTAAAATTATTTACTTATAAGTTTAATTAAATTTTAAAAACTAAAAATCTGAACTTATTAAATAACTAGTTGCTTCAAAAACATATTTCAGATTTCTCTAAGTTGATTTGAGTAAGTCTTTCTATTAACTCAAATAATGACTGTATTCCTAAAATTAACATCAGATCTTGTTTTCCCTTTGTTTGGGGGGCTACAAATAATAACACTCAGGGTTTTCCCTCACTCTGTACTCAGCAATCACTCCTGAAGGAGCTCAGTGGACCATATATGGTGCCTGGGATCAAACCTGGTCGGGTAAGGTAAGTGCTCTACTCACTATACTATCACCTTGGCCACACATATATTTTTTAATCTGCACTTAAACCTTTAGAAACTCAAGGTGCTTTGTTTTTTTTAAGTGATTTAAAGGATGGTAAATATTCCTATATTTGAATGGATTATTAATTTTCAAAATTGACACAATAAGCACAAAAGGCAGACTGTCATATAAAGTTATTTCTAAACAGCATTACTGAAACTTCAATCTGATAAAAAACTATTTAAGAAGGTATGTTTTTGGCATTATGAATACTACTCATAATGCCCAAATGATTGTATATTAGGCATTATGAATACTACTTATACTATGAATAGCATCATAGCATTATGAGTCGCATTGTGAGTAGCAAAGTACTCTGAGTAGCATTCTGAACATCACTCATAGTACTACTAATTTAATAATGCCGAAAAGCAGAGAAAGAAGACAAGAAAAGTGCCTGCCATAGAGGCAGGCTTGGGGTGGACTGCAGGGAATCTGGGGACATTGGTAATGGGAAACGTACATTTGTGGAGGGATGGATATTGGAACATGGTATGACTGAAACCTGATCCCGAATAGCTTTGTAACTATATATCTTGCGGTGATTCGATGTAAAAAAAAAGAAGAAGAAAAAAAGGTATTTTTTTTCTGAATACATTAAAACTAGCTGGGCCACAGAGACAGTATGGGGTTAAAGCACTTGCAACAGATTCTAGCTCAATACCCAGCACTGCATATGGTCACTGGAGCATTGCCACGAGGAGTCCCTGAGCACAGATCCAAGAGGAAGTCCCTGAACACAGCTGCCTAAAATATTCCATATCCCAATCTCCTCGCCAAAATTACCACCTCCAGGGAAATATTATTAATCTTAAGGAAGGTCTGAGATGATGAAATGAATAGTATGAATAAAACTTTAAAATGAGTCACTGATAAGGGTGTTTGATTTATCTATGGAGTTGAAGTATGCTAATAATTATAATTAATATAATCTGTTTTCACAAAATTTGGGGAATATGATGAAAGTAAAAGACCTACAATTTTCCAAGTTTGGCATATGCCACCCTGTAGTATCGAATTTGCAGCAATGACATCAAGGTAAATGTCCAATGGTTAACATTCTGTTCAGATGCTAAAACTTCTGTTCAGATGCTACAATCTTTCCAAGGCAATTTTCATGGAGAGAGTGGTTTCTCTAAGACTCCATTTATGGTTTAGTCCAATTTTGTGTCCCTAAACACAGCATGGGTTAAATCCACCAAGTTCTAAAGGAGCAATCCCAATCTTTTTAAGTAGCACAGAAGCAATTTTATCTCCAAGGGTCTTTGGGGCTGCCGTTAGAGATTTTTGGCTTCTCTTACCACCATTGATAATTAGAGTGAAAGAGAGATGTATGTAATCACCCTACATGAGGCCTATTTAATATATCTTGCTCTAGATCTATTCCTTTTCAAATTTCGCCCAGGATCTTTGAGGAATAATAGTGAAAACACCACATTCAAATTAGAACTCAAAACTAAAAGAATCCACCATCTTTTCGTAATCATAGTCAAGTCTTAATTATTTATGCATATGGTTGGAAGCATCTCCAAGACATGGTTTTGACGATAATGTGTCTCACTTTAAAACATGTTCTATATTTGGAGTTTTTGTTTTGTTTTGGTTTTGGCAACATCAACAGACTTATTTTCCTAATTAGTTTAACCCCAGTTAATGTTACAATCAACATTCTCTGCATGTACACATACAGAAAGCACACGGATGGTAGGGAGAATGCCAGAAACATATTGTGGAATAGGACAAGGTGGTCTGAGATTACGTTTTTGCTGCCATCACTTCACAAACTAGATCATCTGGATTTACAGGAAGTTGGCTGTAGTTATTCCACCAGACACTTCTTGGAGCCAAATAATCATATTAGCTAATTCCCCATCTATAATATATATGCTAGGCCTAGTAATTACTGATTAACCCAAGAAAGATGATGTATCTATCCAGCACACGCATTCATTTCTTTTTAAACCCAGGATTACTTCATTTTACTTATTTATGCAAATCCTATTAACCAAATAATTGCCAGATTGCTCTAGCATTAAGACCAGCCTGGACTTGCAGGTCACGAATCAGGACCATCCTGTTATTCGTTGATTGCCTGGAGCAGGCCCCAGTAATGTCTCCTTCATGCTAGACCTGAGATTTTTAAGAAAGTGCTATATTCAAGGCTCTTTAGGAGAATGAGACCCATCATTGTTACTGGTATTTGGCATATTGGGCACGCCACGGGGAGTTTGCCAGACTCTTGCAGATATTTAGGAATATAAAGGGGCAGAAGTAGCTCTGACTTCTGCCTCTTGGCAGGACGCCGCCAAGCATCCTTTGAGACAACCCCCCACCCGCCTCCCCTGACCTCCCCCTGCCCCCTGCCCTGCCCAGCCTGGTGGCTCACCTATCTTCTCAGCTTGGCTGCCCTCGGCATCCTCCGTCGGGGGCGGGGCAGTGGCCTGGGCAGCCCCATCCTCTGCGGCAGGGGACCCAGCGGCAGCAGTGACAGCAGCAGGCACATCGGCTTGTTTGGGCTCCTCCTTGGCGGGGCCGTCTTCGACCTTGGAGGACGGCGAGTTGTCGGTGGAAGCTTTGGTGGCCCTCTCTGTCTCCGCAGAGCCAGCCTTCTCCTCCTTGGGGGTCGCCTGCTCCGTGGCGGCGTCGGGGGCGCCGTCCCCCTTCTTCTCCTCGCCTGCTGGAGCGTCGCCTGCTTTGCCATCCTGCTCGGGCTTGGGGCCGGCGGGGGCCCCGTCGGTGGCGGTGGCCGCAGGACCTTCTCCCTCCTTCTTCTCCACGCCATCGGCCAGGGGAGTCTCCTCCTTCTTCTCCTTGGCATCAGCCTCAGCAGCCGGGGCTTCGCCCTTCTTCTCGCCTTTGAGCTTTTTCCTTGTTATGTGTCCACGGAAGCTGGCCTGGATTTTGGTGGCGGCCTTGTGCGCCTTGTCTTCTGGTTTGATGCCATCCTGCTCGATCTTTTGGTCCTCATCATTTTTTTCCACCTTGAGGAAGAGAAGCAGAGAAAAGGGAGAGGTGGCATGACGTTCCTTTGCTTTGGATAACGGCACCCAAGAGGTATTTATGGTTTCACCCTGTGCTCGCCACATGAAACCAAAGGCTCAATGCTCTGGAAATTGAAATGGAGCCTCCTCCTCTCTCTCCAGGGCAGAGAATACGTTAGAGAACATGGGATGGGAAAACCAATATCCTTTGGCCTTACAAAATTACTGGCCTTGTTATCTATGTATTTTTTGTGCCATCTCAATATCACTCCACTGGCAAACTAAAACCAACCCTTTTCTTCAAAGGAACTTGACCATTTCAAAGTACATTCAATCTAGAGCTGGGGGGAGGTGGGGGGGGGGGGCTATGGCTTAGCAGGAAAGCACAAGTCTTTATGAGAATTCCTAGAATTGCCTGCAGATCCAATGCCTGTATCCTAAATAATTTTTTTATTGCAAAATACATTCATTGAGTAGCATGGATTTTAATCACCTGGTAGTGTTGAAGGTTTTATTCTTAGCTCTGTGCTCAGAGACTTGGGGGAGCCCATCTGTAGTACCAGAGATTGAACCTAGGTCAGCCTTGTGCAAGATAAGAAATTTACCAGTTATATTATCTCTCTGGCCCACGAGGAGAGATTTTTTTTTAAGATTTCTAAAAGGGACTTTATTATAAAACTTGATCATTTAAAAAATAGCATTCACAGCCGCACAGCATCTCATACCTCACACCACTCATATTCCAAGAGTGTCACACCACATTTGATGGGACTTAAAGTAGAAGCCAACCTATCTTTGAGGGAAGTATATTTTTACAGAAATATATTTTTACACAAGTCTCACCTTTAACAATATGTTAGTGATCTCTTATAGAAGGGCTTAATGGCCCCTGGGTGAAATACAACAATCTTCACACACTTTCCTCTAAGGAAACCTTTCCGGACCATTTTCAGAGGTTTATTCATAACAAACAATGCAAAATAAATTATTTCAGTTCTACTTTGGGGCACCCGGGATGGAAAAATCCAAAATATGGTGTTGGGAAGTTGTAATGCCGGTGGGATTGGTGTTCGAATATTAAATGCAATAAAATGTTGTGAACTACTTTATAAAAATTAATTTTTTAAAATATTATAAAAATTGTTTTCCCAAGTCTAGTCAAGAAATCAATGGAAAATCATGTGGTTGTAGTTTAAAAACCATTTTCATCATTATTTAAAACACAAAGGAGCCTTAGAACTTGGAGGAGTTTGTTTATTCTACAACAATTCAGAATGCAGGTCACATAATGTCTACTTTCTCCTGTGTGTGGTCCATCATCACTAATGAATATAGCCGGCCGTCAAAGCTTGTATACAAAAAAAAAATGACCATTATTCTTAAGCTAAAAGAGAGAAAAAAACCCACAAACACTGTTTCCACTTGTTTAAGTCACAATCTCTTAGTCTCAAAGCACTTTAAACTAAAATAGTCTTATGTTATCATCACAATCATGCTGATACTGAAAGCAAGAGAATAGAATACAAATTTTTTACCACTTGATCACAACACTAACAGCAAAATATATGCTGCAAATAACTTTCTTCCACATGGATATTAAACCAGAAGAGAGAACTAGGAAGTACAGGCATAGATGAAATGTGGACGTAAGTGTACAAATTCTATACAGCTGCTTTGCCCGCCATGGTGCCCTCCAGGTAGGCTACTGACAGTGTCCATTTGTTCTTCCATTTATTTTGCACACTATTATTAATTTTATTATTATTATTATTATCATTACTTTATTCATTTTAGTTTTGTGAATACTTCTGTAGGCACTGGGGAGATTCAGTGGTGAAGAATGCAGCAATTTTTCTTCAAAATGCTAAAAATTTTTAAAAAATGTTTTTCTAGTGAAAAGTTCTATCCTTGGCTCCAATCTTGTCCTTAACTTGATTTTGACCTTTGCTCCAGTTTGGGAGGTAAGCCACAGCAAGCCAACACACGCTATGCTTCCCACCTGCCATACCAGCTCTGCTCCACTGACCCAGATCCTACTAATCATGACATAGCCTGGCTTGACATTTATTTGACAAACACACCAGCCTGATGCTTCTTAGGGCTATCTACATGCTGGTGAATATACAAATGTCTTTTAGGAAACAAGCTACTTGTGAGAGTAAAGGTAGGACTGACAATTTTCCAGTAAAAATGAAGACAAGTGCTTCCTCCTTTCTCCCATAACTATCCGTAGGAAGAATGCAGTGAACGAAAAGTGCTTTGCAGAGGCGCTTCCAGCTCCCTCCTTCCCTTGACATGCTGCCACACTGCTTGGTTCTCTGATGCACAACCACCCCACTGTTTTCCTGCTGCTTTGACCCACTCCTATTGGGACTCACAGCACAATCTGGGGCACGGGAGCAGCTGTCCCTGCCAGGAGCTCTCTACTCAGAAATGGATGCAGAACCCTATTAAATTCATACTTGTGAATGGAGTCTGGAACCAAGATGCCCTTAATTTCTTTTACTGTATTTTGAGTTTTTTTGAATGATGTGCCATCTTAGATGATAGGACAGCTGTACCTAAGTATTGATGACAAGTGGTTCTTTAATATAAAAACTGTTACTTACAAAAGTAGACAAACTAATTATTTCATAGTGGTCAGGTAAACAGGAAAGAAAAAAAAACCCTCTGCTGACACAAAAAAGCAACAAATGTAGATGATCTTCCCTCCACACACTTTTTTTGTTGTTGTTTTCTGAAAATTTTCCTTTGGGGGCAACCTATTGGTGCTCAGGGTTTACTCTTGACTCTGCACTAAGGCAAGCACCCTACCAACTGCCCCCTAGCTCTCCAATCCTAGCTCCTTACACTCTTTTTAAGAACACAAAACAAGGGGGATGAAACTCCAGAAAACTAAATGAAACACAAAAAAAAGGAGGAAGTCATGCATCTATGGGATATCAAGAGAAAATTGTACAAGGATAAAAGCAATTATTTGATGCTTTGACTCTGTTCCACTGTCTTTCTTAAATCATCTGCCAGGTTAACTTTTCACATAATCAGATTAAGCTTTTAAGCAAGCCATTAATATTAAAATGACCATTTAGAAAGACTCAGGTTAGACAAGGGTATAAAGATCGTGCAAAGAAGATCAAAGGACAGAAGGGAGGAAGACTGGCTGGGAAGGAAGAGTCACGAAAGAAGAAAAATTAGGAGAGAGGAGTCAAGATAACCTCATGAGTTAAGTTTCCAAGAATGTGGATACTCCTAGAGGTACTCAAATTACTTTGTGGCATGTAGCAGAAAGAACTGAGGGATTACAGTCTACATTTAAGGAAGCTGGATTTTGTTTGTTTAGGGCTAATTCCTGGATCTGAATTCAGCCTTAAACCCATAACACAGATTCAACAGAACTGAAAATATGATATCTAAGGGCAATCACTGAACCTTTGTAATGTGTCTGTCAAGTTGACAGGTGGGAGTGGAATGGGGTTGGGAGGAAGACAGAACCTGGGAACACTGGTAGAAGGAAGTTAAGACTGGTTGAGGGAATGCTGTTGAATTATTGTATGCCTAAAACACCACTATCAGTAACTTTGTAAGTCATGGCTCTTTAATAAAAATTATTTTAAAAAGAAGAGTTACTCCTGGGACCAATTGGGGTTGCTGGGAATTGAACCTGTTTCAGCCACCTGCAAAGCAAGTATATCCTTCTTGCTGTACTATTGCTCTGGCCCCAGAAACTGGATTCTAGATTTGAAAGTATAGCAAGGACAAGTTTTTCAGAGAGAAAGAAATATATATATATATATATATATATATATATATAGAGAGAGAGAGAGAGAGAGAGAGAGAGGAAAGAGGAAGAAAAGGGTAAAGAGGAGAGGAAAGAAAGATGATGGGAGGAAGACGGGAGAAGAGGAAGAAAAAAGAATGGTTTTATGACTATAAAATCATATGCAGTCCATAATAGAAGCAGAACAAAGTTGATATGTACACATGTTTAAAGACAGATAAAGATGTATACTAATGGTTCACTATTTTTATTACTTTATTGAGGTGAAATTCACATTCACTATTTTGAACAGGATTGATTTTAATAATAGTTGACAGCATGTAGGCATATATCTATGTCTGCAAGGAATTCACAGGGGAACATTGGTACTTTCTTTGAACTTAGTCACAATACGAAACCCAGGGAAGAGTTCTTATGGAGGAGACAAAGGAACATGGGTCAACCTCCTTCTCTTCTTCAGGTTTCTGCAGTTTTAGGGAAGAAATTGGTTTAAAAGATGGGTAAGCACAGCTGGGCTACACGAAGCTCCCTTTGCATTCTGTCTGCTTTGAAGATCCAACTGAGGGTATCAGTGGGGAGGGCAGTGGAATGCAGATAGAAGCAGTGAAGCTGTTTCGCTTTTGACAACTGCTGTCACCACGTTTTTAAACTCTGATTTTCAGTCCAGTGAAGTCTTTTTTTCCCCCCTTGGTTCCTTGACAGGTGGAAACACAGATATATGATGACTGGAGAATTTCCCAGGGAGAATGTGAGATATCAAGTTCACTGTTGCAAATACTACACTATGGCAGTGAGAGAACTTGCTCCCAAATTCCTATAAAGGGCATAGCACAGTGCATCAGCTCAAGTTCCAACACATGGACAGCACAGAAAATGTTCCTGCATTGGCAAACTATACCCCAGTATCCACCATCGGAAACTTGAATAGCACTTTTCAGACAATAATTTTGGATTGTGATAGGAATTTGCAGCTTACTTTTATGTAGTGTCTGTTTAATATGTTTACCCATATTAAACAGACACTTTTGAAGTACCCCTAGCTACTTCAAAAGACTAGAAGATGGCATTTTTTACACAGGCAAAGATATTAGACAATTTTATTCAAGATAATTGTATAGAAATCACTGTTCTGTCTCTCTGGCTCCTCCTTCCAAGTAATAAATACACTAAAATTTCTTATTGGATGCTCAAAATACTAGAAATGTTAAAAGTATTTAATTAA